GTAGCGAGGAGGGGCTGATCGCAGCCTACGAATTTGAAATGCAGCTGGATTTGTTCATTTACTGTGATAAACCTGAGGCGCAATGCAGACCCCGGCCTACGGTGGCAGGTCCCTGGGGCCATGTGGTTTTATCCAGAGGGGCAGCGAAAGTAGATCGTAGAGGAGTGTATGCAGGGGACTGCTAGAGGCAGAGTCCTATTTGATATTCCTTGTACAGAAAACAACATGGAGTCTTTTATCATAAGAATAATAAAGCAGAATCAAAATTACAAAGGGGTTTTTGACAGTCACTACAACCTGAAAGTTATGTTTTGTGTTATCGTTGTGCCAGTGGCTAGTGACACCTTCCAGGGACCAGAGGCCTCACCACAGGCGTGTGGAGCAAGAGTGCCAATGCCAAAGCGCTTGTCTGACGGTCTGGCTGCTGCCAGGGCCTGCCACGCCGGTGCCTAGGTTAGCAGTTGTCTCTGAAAAAACTCTCTGTGAACACTGCTATTAAATTAGGCAGAGCTTTGGGAAGCGTGGCTCTGTGGCCCTTGACATTTTTCCTGCAGGTGCTGTGGAAGACAGTCTGGTGCTACAGTCGCATAGGATCAGATTTTTTATTAGCCTTGTTGCTTCGAAAAAGAGAATATATTTCAGCAGCCTTAAAATGCCAGCACTTAGTATAATGGCTGGGTCATTCTGCAGTTATTGCCAGAAACCTAATTGCCCATTTGGAAGGAAGAATAGAGATGTGTCATTTTATTGAAGGGTTGCAATGGGGGTGATTTTTACCTGCAGGTGAAAAATGCTGAGCATGTTGCTGTCATTTGCTGCTTGCATATTTATCATTACTGATTTATGTATTCTGTCCTCTGTTTGAGGAGCTGCTGGCTACAAATAACCAGTAATCTCTTGCTTTTCTCTGATATCTCTTAATTATAGGTGTACTTCCTTCCATTCCGTGTGTGCGGTCAGGTGCAGGCTGGGTGTGTTAGTGTGGTGTGCATATGCTGTATGCCAGAGGCCTTTTGTCTTTGGGTAAGAGAAAAAAGCGGTCGTGTATGATGTGTCATGGGCTTAGAGTAATTATAAGACAATAACATGAAATTATTAGTCATGTTTTCTTCTCAAATTTCAAAGGCAGTTCCTGAGTTTCCCTGCTGTCTCTTTGACAAGTTTACATTTCCTCTGAGTAAGGAAAATACTAAATTTTTTAGGTTTTTTTCTGCAACCTTTTGGTCAGCTTCAGTGATGTGGTATCCAATCTCAGCTGTATTTGCTGCCTCTCTTCAGTGGGCTGAGCTCAGTCTCACCGCTAACCAGCCCTCCAGCTATGTCAAAGCCTGCAGACTCCTCCACTGCAGCTGCGTGCTTGAGCGAGCCTGTGGCTGGGTGCAAAGCCTGTGGACAAGATTAAGCCCAGTTAGGTTAATGGTTTAACTGCAGTAACATCCAATTGCAGATTTGGAGTTAGATGCAATCCTCCTGCAGTCTGAGGCGTTAAGTGCCTGGCAATGCCATGCCTGTGCTGTAAGCTCTGGTGAATTGACCTGGTCTCCCGATTTTTGCCACTCTGAAGTTTCTAGGCAAGCACTGACTAACAGCATGACTGTCCTTTTAATGCTGGGGTGACTCGCACTTAAAAACAAAATCTTCTTGGCGTAAAGATTTAAATTTTTTTTGCAATAACTCTTGCCCCTTTGAGGCAGTGAGGTAAAAGATGGACGTGCAAAATATCCCAAAAAAGCAATCCCTAAACTCTTAACACCTGACAGCACATTGGTAGCCTCGTTGCAGTTGTGAAGTTACCTGGTTTGGGGTTTCTGTTACTTTAAAATGTAAATAATGTGTGTGTTCAGTATTAAAATGATTGTAAAACCTCATAGCACGGACGTGTTTGTACACCCATAACTGGGCCATGACTGGCAGCGCATGGGAGTGAGTCCATGCCATAATAAAGCTTCTGGAGCTCCTGCAGCAAGCTGGGTCCAGGAGCATCGCGTGGTGGCTTCAAATGCACACGGGTGCTGTCCGGATACCCTTACTGCTCCAAAGCGGGGAACCACCTTCCAGCCACTAGGATTGATGGGGCTTTTTTTGTTTGTTTTCTTTAAATTTAGTAGCTGGGACACGATTCTGCACTGGTGGGCAGTGTCGATGGGAAGTTTCACTTCTCTGGTCTACCAGAAGCCAGAGGGCAGTTCCTGGTGTGGTTTGGGTAGAGACTTCTCAGAGTCAGAGGAGCAAAAGGTTTCGAGAGAGAGAGAGGTGAGATGCTTCTGCTTTGCTTTTATTAAGCTAGTGTTGAGCTTCATAATTGCTCTTCAGGAAATTTTAAACCTTGCACCCCATCCTAAATACTGAACTGATGTAATTTGGAGGAGGTGCAGGCAGGTGAAAGGTCTCTGTGGGAATGAGGAGGAAGCAGACTGCTTCATGGGTGCTTCTTTGAAATGAGCGTCCCATGGGATGGGAGAAGCATCTTGCAGATGCCCGAGCCAGGTGTAAGACCTGTCCTTGGCAGGCGCAGTGTAATAGTAGCCAGAGAGGCCGAGAGCGTTGTCTCATTCTCTTCCATCTTTTGGCTGAGATGGGAAGAAAACATAGCCACCCCTGAAATCTGAGAGAGACTCGTGCCCCGTAATATGGTGCACCAGCACACAGGTCTCCGATGGCAGCAAAAAGCCCTCGGTCAGACTGGTGATGGTTTAATGACCGTGTGTAAATGAAAAGTGCTACGGGGACACGGAGTGCTCCTCGTGATCTTGGCTTAAATGCGATCTTCAGTTGGTCACAGTTAACTACACTGGTGTAATTGCTGCTAATAGACTTCTGCGTGCTGCCTGTGCGGGGACTGGTAATGACAATCAGAGCAAGAAGCAGGGAAGGAGATGACGCTCGGGGCCTGCTTTTATTTTATTTTTCTATACTCATTTTGCCGGATCCTTGTCATGCTTTTAGCGCTTGTTGTGGTTTTTTGTTTGAATGTCACAGTCTTATTTGAAGTTTAATTGCTCTGCTAGCTGTAAGACCCTGTTTCTTCTAAGTTTGCAGAAGGTACAGAGTTGTTGGTGACACTGAGAATCACTACAAATCATGTAGCTGAGGCAGGAGGCGGAGGAAGCTGCAGGGAGTGTGGCACTTTATTCCGCAGGAAGTATTTGCATGAACAGACACAACTTCACAGTCTCCTGCTCCTTGCCTCAGCCTTTTGTGCATGCCAGTGAGTTGATTTGAAGAGAAGTTTGATCTCAGCCCTGAATCAGATAACATGGAATTTGTTGCAACAAAAGGGAGTTGCGCAGCAAGTTTGTCAGGGCGGTATGGTTCTGACAGTGCACTGAAAAGCTCCCTTGACAGTGAGCCATGGAAAAGCAAGGCATGGAAAACACATGGAAATAATATGGTGTTTTTATAAAAAGTAAGAATGTAACTGAGATCCTTTTGTGCCTGTAGAATCGCAGCTCTCTATGCAGTACCGATAGCTGTGTGTTCTTGTTTGAACAGGAGTGACACTGGCACTGGAGGTGTTATTAGGGCCCAGTGGTCACACTGGGAGGTTTTCCTGAACCCCTTCCTGTAAATGCTGTTAGTGCTGCAGAGGTACAGAAAAAGGACAGCATGGTACAAAAGAACCCAATCATGATACCAAAAGGGAAGGGCTGTGCGTAGGTGCAGTGCATCGTGCCAAAGTTTTCTGGCTCTTTTCCTTCATTACTTGTTTACCTTCTCTAAATTGCAGGGCACAAAAGGTTGATGGTTATGTATTTTCTAGTAGCCAAAATACCATAAAACCTATGGGTTTGCTTTAAGTGGGGAATGTACTGGGGGTGTGCTGGGAGTGGGGTGTTTTGGTTTTGTTTTCTATGCTGCTTGGTTATAAAGTGCTGTACTGACATTTTAACACTTGCTTCAGACAGGGTCATAGACATTCTCTTTCTAAATCTGATAAGGGCACAGTAACCCGTGGAACCAGTCTGTGCCCGTATCTTAATCGAAGGACTATAGACAAGCAGCTATAGGGAAAGTTATGCTCCCGCAAAATCCATTGCTGTCAGATTGGAAATGGTGCCTCAAACAACAGCAAGTCTGGATTTGTGTATTTGCAGAGGTTTGGGTTAATAGAAAAAGATGTGGTTTATTTGTATGTGTATTTGAGTGTACTTCCACGGTAAAAATGTACTGCTTTTTGAATGCCCCTTCTCCCCGCTCCCCTGTGAAGTGAAGGCAGAAGTCCTTCCCTAAAAAACTTGACAGCTTTTTGGCCAAGATGCTGTTCCTGACGTTCCAGTTCTGTTTCAGTCTGGGCAGTTTCTGCTGGGCATGTTGTTGAAGTCCCCCGTTAGACCAAAGGGAGCAATGAACTCTGAGGATTGGGTGATGTTGGGGCCAAATCACTCCGGCTCAGTCAGCCCCCAGCTTTGCCTGGCTGTGCGAGCCCTCTGTGTCCTGTCCCATCCCACCCCATGCTGTGCTGCAGTTCTCAGGTGCTAAGCACTGTGCTGTATGCCAGTATCGGTCATCTACATCATGTGAAGCCAAATTTGTGTCCTTTTACCATTCTAAATCACAGAGAACCTCTCTCTCTATGAAATACATATTTACATCAAAAAATGTATAAAACACATTTTCTATTATTTATGAAGTCAGATTATGGAACTTAAAACTAATGTATCTTCAGTGATTTAACAACTTTAGGACTGTATTTGATTAGATATCCATCAGTGCTTGACATCTAAATAATTTAGAACCTTCTCCCGTTGGAAAGAGAGGCAGCACGAATGACCAGGCAGGGGGTCAGATGTGTGTAATTTTAAGTGGATAGGTCTTTGAAAGCACGTGGCTGTGTTGTGTTTCCCTAGTAGATAGTTCAGCTTTCTAAAATTACGTGATGGTGGTAATTTTATTTTAGCTGTTTAACCACTGTGAGGAAAATGAAATTTACAGGATTTAAAAATGGCTTGCTAATTAACTGCTGTGGTTTGTTCTTTCTGTTATTTTATCTCTAGATCAGTCATACTGTCATCGGCTGCAACACGACATGTATTTTCTTACAAGCAATAGTCGACTGAATGAGCAAGTGGTTGATAAAATTATTCTTCAGCTTAACAGAGTCTACCCCCAAATACTTACCAATGCAGAAGCAGAAAAGGTAATTTGATGAATTTTACTTTATCTCTGAATGTCGCATTGTTTTCGCGGGTCAGTAGCTCAGCTGCCCTCTTCCTGCCTTGGCTCTTGGTGCTACATGCAGCCAATCTTGTTCACCTCTTACTCGCTGACCACTTGTATCTGGGATCCGTATCGGAGGAGCAGTCACAGGGCTGGCATGTTGCCTGTGCCACGTGGTTGTGAGAGAGGGCACTCTACAGCAGCAGTTTAATGCCACGGTCCCTGCCGTGACGTCTGACGCTGCGCGTGCAGAAGCACGCTGTCTTATAACGGCTCCCTGGGCAGGATTGCACCCGTCGTGTGACCAAATGCCCTGCATACCTGCCTCCTCACATGAGTTGGTGTGGAGTGCCATGTCAGATGATCCGTGCTGCATCCACAAAATCATCTATGTTAGCTTAATCAGTTTTAGTTGCTGATTAATGTGATTAAAAACTCTGAGTATTGGTAGAGAAGGGGGGCATTAGTCCCACCTTTAAGTGTGGGAGCTGTGGGAATTGCATGGAATTAGTAACATCTTCCAGTAGTGCTGCTATGTATAGAGGAAAGCCACCTTCCCTGACGTGAGGCTTTCAAAAATGGGTAGCTGTTTTTAGGGATCTTTTAAACTTGTGTGGAGTGAAAGTTAAAGTCAGTTAAAAGCTTCCCAGATCCTACTTTATAACAGTTTGTACTTGCCCTCTGCTGACTTCATTGTCTGCACGGGGCTCGGGCATATAAGTATTTTAACATTAGGAAAAATAGGTCTAATTTTGTCATAATCAAACTCCATGGGGACAAATGGTGTTTTGGTGGTGTAGAGCAGTGCTAGATAATCGGCTAAACCAGTCTAGCCACTCAGTTACGATAAACAGTGTGACACGCACAATTAAAGATCATCTCATTCCCACAAGAGCTTCAAAACAAATGCATAAAGAATCTGTGAAATGTAAATTATGACTTCTGCACTTAGCAGACACAAATGAACTGCTTTCACCTAGCTCCATACAAGTTTCTGTCAACTCTATTCAGTGTTTGGGAAGCTGACAATCTCAGCTAGACCTTGTGGGAAGTTTGTCAGAATAAGGAGTGCTGTATAAGGTACGTTGCGTTCCTGTCCCCCTAGAGCAGGAATTGATCCTAAGTGTACTACAAAGGTTATCTGTCGTACTGGTCTGAAATAGAAGGATTTGCTGAGAATGCCTTTGGACATTTTCCAGATAAGCTGAAATCAGTTTGATGTGTGTAAGGCTAGGTATGCGTTTTCATTCTCTTTGTAAGGTATCCTAATATTCATCATGTTTTGGACTACAGAAAAAAAGTCCTTTCTTCTGCAGCTGCTCGCCATGTTGCCTGAGTAATGAGAATTTGTCCATGTTACGCTGGGAATGCGGCAGTGAATTGTGCTGGAAACAACGAAGTCTGCAATCTTGGGATGATGAACACTCCAAGACTGGCACTAACAGAAGCAGTTTAAAGTACTTTTTTTCCGTGATCATTACTAGGCAACTAAGGGAAAACTTGAAAACGAAAGACTTTATTATAAGATTTGTTGATATTTTCTATCAATAGCTGTCAGAATCAAATTGTAGAATAGCAAGTACCACGTTAGTTTGAATGCAGAGAAAACATCAAGTGTAGAGTAGCTGTCACTTTTTTGGGACAGAAAAAAGAACGAGGGAAGGCAGAGTCAATACGCTCTCCGTCAAGCAGTGCTGACCAGATGGAGCTCAGTGTCTTGAAGACTGCTGTGCAATGCATGTATGTCCTTTTTAGGTTCCCCTCATTTTTTAGGCCCCTTCTTTTAGCAAATATAAAACAAGCTCCATATCTTCACTCCCTGGCATAGTGATGTAAAATTGATCTCCGGCTGTTGTAATGTCTCTTCTGATGAGTGCTTTTCTCTTACAGTTCAGGAATCCAAAGGCATCACTCCATACCAGACTTTCAGATCTGATAAAGCACCTTCAGAAGAAAGGAGACAGACACTGTCAAGAGTTTTACAGGGCTCTACAGATCAATGCTGAGCAGTTGTATAATGACCTGCCAAGCAGGAAAATCTTGAGTAAGTTGATTGAGTTGTGCATTTCCTCATCAGTGTATTACAAAACCTCATTTCAGATGAGGCTTAGGTTCTTTAAATAACTTGTTTAGGTTATTAAAATGATTTTTGGGGTATACCTTAATTCCTTCTGACTGGAATTTTCCAAAAACCATAAGGGGATTTGACTGCATCATTCTTGTTATTTGTTGACTAGTGTGGGCAGTCCAAAACTCTTTAATTGTTTTGAAATATGAAATATGAGTTTAAAAAAGCTAAAGTGCAACATGTAAGGCAACAATATAACTCGTATGAAGTACAATTTCTCTTTTCATTACCACAGATTCTTAATGGCACATAAGAACATTACAAACCTCAAATTTGTTAAGCTCAAAACCCTGGTGGCCCAGAAGCTTGGCTTTCTCGCAATCCATAAATCTCCTAGCTATGTCTAGTTTAACGTGGAGCAAACATTCATAGGCCCTTGCAATGATGAACTGTGATATTAATCACTTAGGACTTGTTTTGTGCAGCTGACAGGCCTGACTGATGTCCGTAAAGTTGCCCCTCAAATACACATGTATGTATTTCAGAAGGACTGAGACTCAAACAGATTTCGTTCTGTACTGCAAAGGAGCTCATTTTTGTAAGGGAAAGTATTAAGCCTGACTTGCCAACCTGGGATAACACTTACTATGTGTTGGTATTTCTTTTTTTCTTTTTATTTTTTTTTTTCCTACCTAATGAACTGGAGAAAAGAACAATGTTCCAAATGGGGGAAATATGTTCGGGCATCCCACATACTGAAATGACTTGAGGAGCTTGAGGGGAAAGCTCCCTCATTTGAGTTAATGAAACTGCAAAGGGACTGCGGTTTACGAAATCCTTGTAAAGGATTACAGCACTAATGTTGATTTCTAATTGTAAAAAACCTCCACATTTAGGTGCTAGGGGAAATTTTAGACACGTGGGTTAAACTCCAGTGAGATTCAAACCACTACACCAAAAGTCCGTAGGTTTAAAAAAGACAGTTAGACACCTTTTATTTCTGGAGTGAAAATGGCACATCGGATTGTAATTACCTTTGAAGATACGGCACTGTCTAGCTTCGTTTTGCCTTTCATTTTGAAGGAAAGGTTTGTATCTACCCAGCACAAATACATACTGGTGGAAGACAGCGGTATTTTCTTGCCTGCATAGGGAGGCTGTGAAGTTACCCCAGGTTTCCACATCCATACCCAAACCCTCTGGAACTGGGAAAGTCTGGGCACATCCCTGCCTCAGAATCTCAGAGGAGCACAAATCCCAGTTGATTCGGCCTCGCAGCAACTTTAAGGCGGCACTTTTGATCTGATATTCATCTTGCAGAAGTCGTGCCCTTTGAGGGAACAGGCTCTTGAATAGTCGTGGATCTATTGTTTTTACTCAGGTAGAGCTCAAAAGCAACAGGTTTTTCTGCCAGGGTGACTAGAAGGTAGCACACAGCCTTTATTAAGTAAGAGCAACTTAAGAAGTTTCAGTGTAGTCACTAAGAATAAAATTTCAGGAGTATGTTGATGATTTAAGAGTTTAAGCTCTGTTAATGTTCAATAACACCTTCTACAAGCCATTTCTGAAAACGTATCTTACCATACGTTTACACAGCAGCCGAGGCCTGACTACATCCCGTATAGACAGTCTGAATTCAGCTGGGTGCCAGAAACAGCATGGCTGTGGCCAAGTTCATCCATGCCCATAAAACTGACATCGGAAATTGTGTACATCTTGTCACGCCTGGACAAACCAGCTGAAAGGAGACTTGCGTAGGGTGTCTGCGTGATGTCTTCACTTTTAGCTAGAGCATAAATGTACTCATCCTTGCACCTGGGTGACGTGGTTACTTCTGAGAGCTTTGACGCAGGTAGCCACACGAGTAGGCAGGCTTAGGGCTTCTCATGGTCAGACTGCGCATAACTAGTACATGTACTAGAAGTGCGTCACTGAAAAAATTGAGCTTTGTGGTGCCCCAAAACTGTTTTGCTGCTGTTGAATTGTGCAAAGGGACTCAGTAACCATCATAAGTCATTAAATTCTCTGTATCTTGGTATGCTCTCTTTTGTTACCATCCTCAGAACGATGACAATAATTTCAGTAACTGAGTTAAAATACTACCACGTGCTGAGATTCTGCAGTTTTCTTGTATTGACCCGAGAAGGAAATAATGAGATGATTGTGTTAATATGTCTGCTGCTTCTTAGAAGTTCTGTAACTAAAACAAATGTCTGCATTCTGGACTGAATGGTTTATAATCATCTGTGCAGCATTTTAAGCTAAAACTGCAAACAATTTTATTCTTCAGGAAAAGCTCCCTTTTCAATATGAGGTGTTATTTCTCATTTAAGTGAACTTGGACATTTTGAATATTAAAGACATTATCCTTCAGACCTCTAATATGTACAATTTTTATGTTACTCAGATGTTACCCATAGCAGTAGTTGTTAAATTTGTCAAATTCAGCACAGCATTTACAGAATTGACACTAGAATTTGTAAATGTGAAGAAAAAAGGGAATCCCTAGCATGGGGACTTTGTTCTAAATGCAGATTGAACTGAAACAAGCAGCATTACAAACACCTGGAGAAGTTGTTGGTGATCAGCTGTGGCCAGGACAGAGTTCAGACTACATGCAGCTGTACACATGAAAAATGTTTTTTACGGAGGAAATCCTGTCGAAGATTTCTTTTTAATTTTTAAACCAACTTTAAAATTTGTTCTGGAACAAAATTTCTTTGCCTCAAGTATAACGTTGCAAGTGAGCTGTTCAGTCATGCCTCCCAACTCCCACTAGAGGGTAGGTAAGGCACACCACCGGCGGCTGCGGAGCTGTTGAAGCCAAACAGTGGCTCGGAAAATGTTTTCATTTCTCTCAATGATAACGTAGTGTGGAAAGATAAGGGATCAGATCAGCCCCACACAGCGATAGCGCAGGGATGTGGCTGTGCTCTCCTGTGCACCTGAGGGTTTCTTAGCTAGAGTACACAGGGAGGACATCCCGCGAAATGGGCCGGCTGTGTGAGATTGCCATTCAGCGCACCATGGAGCATTGCAGCAATCCTTCCTGCTTCGGTGTCTTTCAAGCTTTGCAGCAAAGTGGTTCAAATGTTTCTGTTCTGCTTGAATGCCATGCCCTGTCACCCACCGAGAGGGACGTACTTAGCATGGGAGATGGGTCTTTGCAGTCTAATGTTGGCCGACAGCAGATCCCCTTTGCTGATTTGGTGTACAGGGCGGTTTTCCAAGGCACCTCACCTAGCTCCTGATTGTCATGTAGAAGAAGGAAATCAGTTGAAACCAAACAGTCTCAAATTCTTCCCTATTGACGGCCAAATTTGGAGCTCTCACTTTTTTTTTTTTTTAAAACCCTCTTGACCACAGAGAGGTTTGGCTAAAAAAGTTTTTTTACAGATTCCTGATGCATTGAAGGAAAGCCATTCCCCTGCCGTTTACGGTGACAGCGGTGTTCTTTGGTGTTGCACACATGTTCTGCAGGCAATGTTATCTCCACATCTGTATGGCAAAGGCACCTCTAAAAGAGCTGCAGGTCTTTCTGCCCAAAGCAGAAACTGCTTGATTGCTGCTAATTACTGAACACCTTGTCTTAAGGTCAACCTCCTTTTCTACTAGAATTTGTGGAAAGATAGAGGCAAAAATTATTTGTGCCAAATAATTAGCACATAGTGCCTACACACTTTCAAAGCAGCTGTACGTGTCTTTAGCTGAGACCAGAATTTAGATAAATAATCTGCTCCAAGCAGTTTGTTCCAAGTGCTTCATCTGGCAGATACATTAATGCCCAGAGATTTGCTCAAGAACAGAAAGAATGGTGATGTATCAAATTATAGGGATGTTTTCAGATTAGCACATATATTAACAAATAGTTTGTATTTATTACAATGAAAATTTCTGGCATTATGGAAGGATTAGCTCCTGTTTTCTCACTCGGGAAACAAGTGTAATGTTACTTACGTGGTTAGTGCTTAACCAGATCAGAGGTGTTGCTGCAGCTATTTGTAGTTGCATTCAAATGAGTATGTGCCTATGTCTTTTGATCAACATATATCCAGATTTAACTATAGCGATGATTTATCTTTGGAGGCATTAATATTTTATGTTAGAATTGGATAGTTTTCTGAAATGTGGTGTTTTGCACAATTTTGTATGTGCTGATTACGTTTGTTTGCTTGAGCTGAGTACTAACTTTTCATGTGTTGCTTTTATTTCTAGAAACCACAGATTCCACAGAGATAGACACTGACAAGGAGAAATATATGCTAAATGACAGGGGTAAATAAATGCATACAGTGTCACCGGATGGAATGGCTTTTCAGATTATGATGCAATTTATTTTATCATGTAATTTGCATTTCATGTAACAAATAGTTTGTTTTATGATGTCTTTATTGTCACAAGTTAAGTGGAATTAATGGAGGAAAATGTACTGAGCTGCTGTTGAGGAAACCAATGCCAGGAAATTTAAGAGACTGTAGAGTTTAATCAATATTGATAATGGTATTTTTACTTACACTGTTACAGCTAAACTCTTCATTTCCTATGATTTCTTCAATGCTTGAATAGTAAGGTCTAGTCAGCTGCTGCTGTCATTTTGCATAAGACCATCAATAATTTTTTTTAAATAACTTTCAAATTTTTTCTTTTTTTTAATCTTTCAATGTAAGTACAAATAATTTGAAAACAAAGACAGGAAGATGAGCAAGGGTGAACTTTAACATGTTTTCCAAAACATGTTAATTTTTTTCCCCTTCCTCTGTTCAATGCCCAGATTACAGAAGCAAATATTTTATTCACTAAAAGGTGTTTTGAAAAGGAATTGAAGATCTGAAAGAAAGCTGAAGACTTCAAAATTTATAATGAACTAATTTAGCATTTAAGTTTAATTGATATTTTATGTAGAGATTTGGATACAATTATGAGAGAATAAAAGCACCTTCTATGAACTATGCCTTTTTGCCAGTTTTCTTCCCAAGAGAAAACCGAAACGAGGGGCAGAAACACAGTTTAACTCGATGCATATTTTTGCCTGTATTGTTGTTACTTAGAATATTGAACCAAATTGCCAGTCATATTTTCCACATTGCTATTGCTGACTGCAGCGTAACAGTACAGGAAGAACAGAGGAAAATGCTTGGAAATAAGAAAATTAAAGAATTTCTGTTCTTACTCATGCTGATGAAAGAGCTGGCCTCAGACTGGAGCTTGTCCTTGCTCCTTCGCTGTTTCTCCAGTGTCCTTGTCCACGTGCTCAGGTCCACTAATTTGTTAGTCTGCAGTACATTTGTCCTTAAATTGACAGGTGCAGTTTAATTGTAGCTATATTCATAGTGAAGTAGTAAATACAAATAGAATATTAGATAATAAAGAAGCAGATATAAATCTTTATGAGGTTTTGTCTGTGGATAAGTATGGATTAGAAAGGTTTTAGTGAACATCAATACTGAACGACAGCGCTAAACTGCATGTAATTGCAGGCAGGCCCATGAAGGAAATGTTTCCAGTGGGAGATTTGTTTTAGGGGCGCGTGTGGCTCTGCATTTCAGCTTCCAGCAGAACTGCAAACGGGAACAAGAATATTTGCTCTTGTCATGGAAGTGGAATTTGTGGAACATCTGTGGAGAAAAAACCCAAAACTCTAAAAATCCACTTCTAAGGGACTGCAGTCTCCTGTGATGTACTCTCACCCACAGGCAGTGCATTGCCCCAGCAGGGGATATTTATAGAGTAAAATGCTAAACCGTGCGGTGAGGTCCCAGTAGCCTGGTTAGTATTTTGTTGTAGTGTTTAAAGGGGATTTTACACAAAATTTTAGAGTAAGAAAATATCTAGGGAAGCTTTCACTTAAATTTCACAGGATGAATTGAATAGAGGCAAACAGTGAATGGTGTCAACACAACTGTAGTAAAAATGAATTACAGTATAGTAAATGTGCTTCATAGTACATTAGCTACAGAACATACGTAATTGTGAATGTGTTAACTTCATTTGAATACATTTAATTATGCATATTAATAGCAATTGATGATTTATGAACTGAGCTAAACTTCCACTGCTGTGTTCTCTCTTAATGTGTCTCCTTTTTTGTTTTCTTTAGGTCCAGTGTTTTTCCTTGCTTGTTTCAGCATTGCTGCAGGATTTGCGTTATTTTGGTATTGCTGTAACTCAGGTAATCTACTCCGGGTTTTTTTCTCTTGGTTGCCTTACTCTGGCGTGGGAATGGGAGAGCAGCGCACCTCTTGATCTAACGTGGCTTACTTAATAGTCAAGGTGTCATCATTCATTAATGAGGTTAGGATACAAATTGTGCTTTAGACATGCTGAGATATAAATAATGGATAGTTTGCCTACAGAGGATGCCACAACTAGGGGCTCTTTTTAAAGACAGTAGTCACATGAGCTCCTGCTGCTATAGCAATGGGTTGTGATTCCCAGCAGTCATGAGACAGACCCAAACCTTCTGGCTTCCACTTCCCTTGGAGCTGGCTGAAGCATGACCAGTTCCAGGGCTGGATGACGCTGGCTCCATGTGCTGAGCCTGCACAGAGCCGTTGCCCCTGGGTACCAGCTCTCCCCGTCGGCTGAAAGTCGCCTGCTTCTCAGCAGCCAGCAGAGCAGAGCTCCTGCTCCTCTGCACAGCCCTACCTTCCGCTCACCCAGTGTCGCCGCGAGAGCGGCAGCTCTTAGCAGAAAGTGCGTTGATGTGTCCACATGGATCAGCTTCAGCGACGTGGTGAGTCAGGGCCGGGGGAGAGAGCCACCGTGAAAGAGTCGCTGATTCGGAGGTGTCACCTTCTCTCAAGCCTTCTCATGGTACTGCGGGAAGTGCCAGTCTTCACGCGGTAGATGGGGAGCAGAATCCAAGCTCCATTTTGGTTTAGTGCCTTCTGCTCCTCATATCCTGGTCACAGTGGTTACAGTTGGACATCGTTCTTTACTATTTTTTTCCCCGAGCCATAGGCTGCAGTACCACCAGTTCATGGACATTTCAGGTGACGTGGGAGTCTGGGCTATTCCCAGATCAGAGTCCCTCAGCTGGACTGTCCATGGAGTCGGGGTTTAAGGCTACAAGGGAGCCATTAGACCTTCGAGACCAACCCATGTGTTTCCTTAGCTGCCATCACCTCCCTTCATTGGCTTCAGAAAAGCATTCAGGGACTGATACCAAAAAAAACAGAGAATCCATCGCTTCCCTTGATCCCAGTTAATTGTCCATAGTGTTAGAAGTGTGTGTCTTATTCTCAGGTTGACCTGGTTTCAACTCCAGCCTGTCATTTTTGTTAAGCCTTTCTCTACTGGGTTGCAGAGCCCCTTAGCCCCTTGGTTCTGTGCCAGCTGACACTTTATAGTTTCTCCCTGTGGAGGTCCTTGTGCCTCAAGTCAGCTCTCCAGCTTTATTTTTGCTAAAATCAGCAACTAATCTCTCCAAGTCCTTTGTTCCAAGGCTCTTTTTTCCAGTTTTTGAGGCTCTTTCCTGTACCTATGCAATATGCAACAGGGCCACCAGACCTGGACGTGGTGTTCCAGGCTTGCACCAGCCGGTGCCATGCTCAGGTGTAAAGCTGCCCCCTTACCTAACTTGGTAATGTCCTCTTCGTGTGTCTGAACTTGCAGCAATGAATCCTAACAGATACATCGTTATCCTATCTTGGCAGTTGGTGTATATAATACTGAAGGAAATGGGCTTTCTTCTAGAGTAATTTTTTATTGATTTTTATTTTTTCATAGATGCTGCTTACTAACTAGAATGAAACTTACTTGTGTTCACTTTCTCTTTTTCCTCCCATCTTCATTCTGATTTAGATGCGAAAGTCGTAGGAAGACCCAGGAGAATCTTGGGCTTTTCACCTATTATCATAGGAAGGCATGTTAGAAATATTTGTATGTTGTATTTGGAAGACATATGAAGAAATTAAGGAGAAGCTGCCTCTTCGCTTGTCTGTACAGAATACCTGCCGCGGAAAGACAACGGTGCATGAATATTAACGTACTATACTCTCATACCAAAGATTTTACTAACTAGCTTCATCAATAATTGTGTTGCCTCAAGATGTATTCAGAATTTCAGCTATATATGTCCGTCCTTATGGGAACGGACCATTTATTTTTGTAAATGCTTATTTTAAAATATTTATCATTTGGATAAAAAATATTTTTAATACAAACTTTAAAATGATATCCTAAGTGATCATGGGTCTTAAGCCATGTTTGCATATGTGTTTTATACTGGAATGAAGGATCACAACTGTTTAAAGAATGCTAGCCTGTCTTTTGTGATAATTAATTGAAGAAAAGCACTTACACGCACTCAAAGCCTTACTAAGAAATGGATCTCCATCTCAGGATTGTCTGTTTTGTCTGGATCCTTTATACTGACTGCCTGAGCTCAGGTGGGCACTGGCACCTACGGAGTTCCTCGGTGCTGGTAGCCTTTGCATCTGCCTAGCGCTTGCCGTGTTTTCCGATTCTCCCCTCCGTGCCCCGTCTCAGCCTGCCTTCTTCGTGTTGGCCGTGTTTGAATGTGCTGTAGCTGGTGCAGACTGGTTCCCAGCCTGCGGAGGGGCCCAGGGACTGGAGTGCCCCATCCCAAGCACTTGAAATTACCGAGACAATTTTTCAGATTTATTGAGCATTTCTCTTTCCAGTGAAATGTTTTGCAGTCTGTATACCTGAGAAACTGAAGTAATCCAAGATATTTTGCAGGGACTAAAGTGCCATGACATGGGGCTTTTTTTATGGCCAGAAACATGTATACTAACTTGAAGTATACATACTTGAAGAGCTTGAGGTTGTTCGTAATGTTGTTTATGATCTTACGTTTTTCTTCTGTGAGTTGAAACTTGAAAAACTTGCAGAAACCATTGTAAGACTAAAATTCTTGAGGGAGATGCAGGGAGTCAGGGCTGGAAGTGAAGCAGCTTGGGGTTTCTTAGCTGTAAGAACCTAGTCTTGCTCCTGCCTAGCTCAGGACAAATGGCTCTCCTCTTCCAGAGGGGAGGTGCAGTAGTTCTGAACCGGCTGTGAGAAGTGACGTTGTCAGTGGATAGTTCTTCAGTTCCCCGCTCCAGAGCGGACGGAGCCTGGGGAGACCGAGTCCCTCTACTTGGGAGGATGATGCCTTGTGGCTCTTCGCTCACTGACGCAACTTTTAGTCAAGTGAAATTTGATTTGATCTGGAAATCTCTTCATTCAGTCACCGGAATAAAAGTTGCAGCTGTATCACAAGTGACCACGCACTGGAGGATCCCATGCAGAATTTTAAGTCATTTGGAGTGGTTTTCTCAAAACAGTCAGACTGAAAATTGTCTTCTTAGCTTTAAACTTTATTCATGCTATAAAAATGTCATCTTCTCCAAAGTAAATCATCTTGTAATTGTATTTCCTTCCAGGACAGCACTCAACGTGATACAGTAGCAAGCATAGTTCCTCCTCCGGACTATGAGTGTAGGGCCAAATTTTCAAATAAAAGACCCAAAGAGTATTTGTGGGAAACTTCTTGAGAGACGACAGAGGGCTCAGAGGACCTGATTTTACTCTTCTGATGAAATGTTTTTACCGATGGCATTGGAGCGTGTTTGGGACAGGAGCCAACTCCACGTAGAGGCAGCCACAGTCTTTGTTAGGTCGAATCTCTTTGTGGTCATCACTGGCCTGCGTGCAGCTCACCTCGAAACACCCAAGTGAAATCAAACAGGCTGCAGGGATAAGCTCCGACCCCAGTGTCAGGCAGCACAAGCTATTTGGTTCGGTATTTATTGTGACGCCGGGGAGGCGAGCTCCCAGTTGCTGTGTTTACGCTGCTGATGGTGCCTCCAGCAGCCATGTCAAAGCTGCCGTGGCTAGTTTTGCACCGCTCCAACGGAGCCGGCGTTTCCCTAACAGCTCCCCGGTGTAACTGCAGCGCTCAGCAGAACAGTTTCCTGCACAGGCAGATGGACGTACCCTGAGATCAGCAGTGGGCCCAGGGATATTATAAACACTTAATAGCCTGTCGCTGCAGTGAAAACATGGAATGAGACAAACACCACGCGAACAAAATAACACCCAGCAGAGCAGTTTATTTAGGCTTCTTTTCCCCTGCCTCCACCCCACCAGCTCTTGGGTCTCTTCGATCTAATCTCCACGGGGACTCTTGTTAGGGAGAAGACGGTGAGGGAGCTGAGCGCGTTTCCTGTGGCATTGGCTAACCGCGAGGCTCTGCTGCCCTCGTTACACAACGATCTGCTGTTGTGCCGCCTTCCATCTTGGGAAGCGCTCTAATTATATTCTGTTGTTTCCTCTCTGCCTTGCCTTGTGCTTAAGGTGACAACAGGTTGGGGGTTTTTTTCTCCATCAAACCAGCTCTAATTTGTAACATTTGAAATGTTCCTTTCCCCGCTGCTGCTTACCTCCTACAGCAGCCCTTTTTCAAGGGACTAGAAAAAATACCTCTGAAATCTAAAGGGGTTTTAAATCTTGGCCTTGAAGCCAACTTTGAAACCTTGTTAGAGGAACAGTATTCCATTTTACCAAAAAAAAAAAAAAATTACTCAAATTGCAACAGTCACATCTCATTTTAAAGCAGAAACGGAGGCCTTATTGCTGCTAGGCAGATTCTTTCTGTTTAGATAACCCACTGTGTTACCCTTTGAATAACAGCTTGCAAATTGGTGTGAGCTGTTACTGAAACCCACAGAAGTTACCAGTGCCTTATTTAAGCTGAAGGTGAGATTCTGCTCTACTTATTACTTCGAAGGATGCCTCGCTGTGCCAGGAGCCCCCCGGGTGGGTAGGGCATCCCCGGGAGCACGCTGGCTGTGCAGTAGGACATGGCCCTCCCGCCTCCTGACACCGGGCAGCTTGCTCGAGCCTTGGCAACCGTAGGGAATGGGAAAGTTTGCTAAAGGCTGTGGCTGTATCGCTTCCCTTTCTGAGGTTGCTTGAGATGAGGATGCCTCTCGGGGGGGAAAAAAGTCCAGGATGAGCTATCCCCAGGGTTAGGGCTGGGAGGAGAGAGGGAAATGAGTCTTGGTTCATCCCCATGTTGTTAGTTAAAGGACGTGACAGCAAAGAATAGAAAATAATCTGTTCCTTCATTAGTGCTAGTTTTGAATGTAAAAAATAAAAGTGAGGCTAGCTATAAAATTGGCACGTGCATAGGTTGGGAGACATGCTTTTTCTTGGAAGATTTTTCCTTCAGGAGCAAATACTGAGGTTTAGTACGCTTCTCCGCAAGCGCATCTATGCAGCGCGTGCAGACAGTGTGAAGTGGTGGTTCCGTCGCCAGTCCTGAGGACGCCCGCCTGTCCCTGCGCAGGAGCCGGGTCCGTGAGGCAAGCAGCGTGTGTTACCCGGCACAGCACCAAGCAGGGGCTCGGAGGAGCCTGCCTGGCCGCAGGGTTCCCTGTCAAGTCAGGAGCAGCTTGGCGTTTGCTGCTGAAGCTGTGCTGGCGTGGAGGGACGTGCTTTGCTTCACGCGCGGGGAAGGTGTCCTGGCGGTGTAAAGTTCAGTAGGTGGTTACGCGTGCAGTGGATAGAGGCCGTTCAGGTGAGCGCCGTGGTTCTTGCGCTGCAGGCAGTAGATGTACAGGAGCTATTCATACATACCCTCTCTTGGCTCGTGCGGCTCTCCGTGAAGAAGTAGAATGTTTAAAAAAAAACACGAGCAGCGTTGTGCCTTCAGCGGCGTTCTGGGCTGAGGAGCCAAAGCTCTGGCGCACGTGGTGCTCTCCAGAGGGCTGAACGTGGTGCTGGGGAAGGAGAGGCCGGCGTCTCTGGAGGGCGGCTGTGCGGGTTGTCGGGCAGTCGGCCGCCCTGCCAGCTCAGGCTGTGCTCTGCAGAGTGCCTCGCACGCCGACCCGCTGCCGCTCCCGACCCTGAATCCGCAGGGAGGGAAGGGGCGATGAGCTCCCACTCTTCAGCCTGGAGCGCTCCGGGTACCTAGCCAGAAATCATCTTCCTCCTCTGGGTTTTTTTTTCTTATGATGGGGCTTTTTGATTTAAAGCAAAGCCGAGCTGCCCCTGATTGTCTTGGTGGTAATGTCAGGGCTATCTGCATCCGAGGACAGGAGGGACCCGGTGCGATAACCCGCTAGGCAGAGCCGCAGGCAGCCGCCCCGAGCCGCGCGG